TCTGATACTTCTATCACAGGATCTCCAACACTGGACTCACTGATGCCGGATCCCAACTGCAGATGCCAAAGGATCGAAGCCATCTACAGATGCCACATATCTCTGCTGCAACCTCCTCAACTGCAGATGTCATGAAGATCCCTAATTAGTGTCCAAACCCAGTTAATAAAGAGTTGTTGAATTAACTATTGTTCCTATCCTTGTACCCTCACTACGACACAGGGCTCACCACATAATGTGTCGGAACAGAGAGGATTTCTTGTTAGAGTGGAATTTGGATTTTTTAAATAACAAAGTTCCCGTTTCAGAAATGTGTTTTCAGAGGAAGCCTATTTACACTTTGATACTCTTTCCATACAAGTAGCAAAATTAAAATTTTTGATAGTGAAAAAATTGACTGAAAACGCACGGAAATAGAGATAGTAAATACGGGGAAAAATATTTTTGGTTACGGTAGTTGTCGTTGTGGGGCCTTTGTATTTTTTTTTCTTGCTAATAAAACAACAGAAAACTAAATCTCATTACAAACAGGAGACAAAAAACAACTGAAACCGCCGAAAAAGTAATCACGAGAATTCAAAAAAAATTATAGCAATTTGAGCTTCAGTAATCAAATGCGCACATTAGCTCGTTTTTGATGACCGTTAAAAAATTGGTCGTGTTAGAATTTACTGTTTTGAAATGGGTATAAGAACCAGGGGGGGGGGGGGGGTGGATCTTTTTTCAAATTTTAAGACTTTTCTCATTCCTATTATTAACAGATGATCCTAGTATTCTCCTAGAAGATTTTCATTGGATTTGGGATGATTTTTTAGAAGAGTGAATTTTCATTTTTGAAAAAAATCGCGTTTCAGAAAAGTATTTTCAGATCCAACGAATTTGCCCTTCCCATTGCACGTTTATTATGAAATGTTTCGGAGGAATTTCCTGTATTGTCCTGTTACGTAAAACAAAGAAGAAAGTCTCAAAACCAAAACTACAGTAATCGAAGGATAATCTGATTTTCCGGAGTTTTCTGATATTTTTCTCAAAAAAATCACAAAATGAACATATTTGACGAAAACTACAGTAACCTAGTAACATGCTTCTTTTATGTATTTATTTTCCTGTTTTTCACTGTTTTTCCTCCAGAAAAATCGGAAAAAAAATTGATAATGAAAACATTGACTGGATACTCACGAAAATTGAGATTTAAAATTATTCAGGTCTTCGAATTTTTTCGCTAAATCTAGAATATTTACTATAAATCTCACTATAAACAGAAGAAAATAAATCAACTGAAACCGGCTAAAATTATTTACCGAAATTTTGGCTACAGTAATCAACGGTGTGCATTCTCTTGCTCTCAGCGACCGTAACAAAGTTTACTGTTTTAGAAATCACGGTTTTCAAAATGTTATAAGAATCAATCTTGATCGAATTTAAGCCTTTTATCATTTTTATTAACTAGAAATGATCATAGGATTCACCTCGAAAATTTTCATTGGATTTTAGAGGATTTGTTGAAGAGTTGAATTCGAATTTTTGAAAAAAAAATCCAGTTTCAAAAAGATGTTTTGAGATGCAGTTCCCCCTTTGTTTATTGCAGGTTTATTCCAGCAGGTTTACCATGAAACTTTTCAGGGCAATTTTTTGTACTATTCTGATACAGAAGGTCCCAAAATGAAAACTACAGTACCCTAATAAATCCCTTATTTTCTTTTTTTGTTTTCTAGTTTTCCACTGGTTTTCATCGAGTTTTCTAAATTTTATATCCAGAAATTCGGAAAACGGAAATAAAAATTTACTGAAAACGCAGGAAAATCGATGTAACAAATCCAGAAAATAAACTTATTTTTGGGTTACGGTAGTTGTCGTTGTGAGTATCTTTGTATTTTTTTTTACCCAAAGAGAGCACGAACCAAATATTTTCACTATAAACAGAAGAAAATAAATAGACTGACACCGTCAAAATTGTTTAAAAAATGATCGAAAAGTCTTTAAGAAAATTTGAGTTACAGTAATCGAAGACGCACATTCTCTCGTATTCGACGCTCGTTACAACATCGGTTGTTTTTAAAAAATCATATTTTAAAATTGCTATAAAAACCAGTCATTATAAAACTGATTGTTAGTGTATTTTTGCCATACTTGCAAATTTCGGGAAGGCCCGGCCCGGCCCACGGGTCGGCCCGTGTCGTGGAATCCTATTTTTTCAACGCCGTTTTTCGGGGATTTAGGATTCTTTTTGAATCATTCCGCAATAATATTAGGAAAATACATATTTTTTGAAACATTTTAAGGCAATAAAAATTTTTGGTCGGAGTCCCCCTTCAAGAAACCTTAAAGAACATTAGAGAGGATTTTCCTCATTTGAGATTAAAGACTCGTGGAATATGTGATATTCCACGACAGCCTGTCGAGAATTTTGGCGGGCTGGTCCGGGGTTTGAACAGACGCTGATTTTCTTCTGATTTTTTTTTTCGAAGATTTTAAAATTTTTTCAAAAATTTAAGCAAAAACGACCTATTTTGTGACTACTTTCTACTTTTTTTAATTTGCTAAATAATGTAACATTTTTTCTTTTTTAATTCACAAAAATTACCCAACTTTTCATTGGAAATTTTCCAGCTGTGGTAGCGGGCCGGCCCGACCCGGCTTAGCCGAACTATGATTTTTTCGATAACTTTTAAAAATAAATCCGCAATTTTCAATCAAGCTAGGGTGAAGTAAGCACATATTCAAAAACAAGGGAGAATTTTGAGGTTAAGGGGGGATAATCTTGCTCAAATTTAAGCCTTTTCTCATTTTTATTAAAGGTCGGGGGACAGGAGATTTTACGGGGGATTTTTGGGGCCAGAGTATGCATTCTACCGTGACGGTGTACAACGCTTAATGTCACTCTGCGTACAGCTGTCGTCCTTGCCTTTATGTATGCAATCGGGCTGCCGCTTTCTCTTTGCCCGCGTAGCTGAGACGGTAGTGGCGCCGCACCCTCAATCCTCGTCCCACACGTTCAACTCCTCGAGAGGCATATTTAAACGAAATTTCGAGAACATTATTTTTTTCATGTCCCCCCACCTTTAACAAGAAATGATCATAGGATTCACCTCGCAGATTTTCATTGGATTTTAGAGGATTTATAAGCAGAGAGAGTCATATCGTTCCCTACAGTAATCAATAGCTAGCTGACTGTAGCTTCAAGTAGATAACCGTAATTCATCTTGGATTACTGCAGCTTTCCTCAAATGTTGGTTCCAATGACTGAGCGACTTTCGGGAATTTTTTGAGCGAATTTTTAAAATAAAGTTTATAAATTGAAAAAAGGTTATAACCGGGCACAAATCTTTGTATAAATGGGTCGAACATGTTCAATTCCATGAGCAGACATGTGAATAGTAGTTGTGAAATACGAGAATCCTTTTGAATCAAAGTATTGGAACGCATTCATTGTTTTGTTCCAAAACGCGTCCATATAGTCAATCAATTCACACTTTGATCCACATTCATTCTTCACCAATTCAGCATGACGATGACGTCCAAACTCGAATTGTTTTGGTTCGTACAACGACACCTAGAAAATCACGCAGACCGTTTTTTGAGCTCAATTAACTCGGTTCCTATGAGAGATATCAAAAAATTGTCAACTGGTAAAATATTGGTGATATTATGATAAATAATTTACCAGTTGGGAGTTTTCGATATCTTTTGTAAATTGAGCTCAAAGCAATACGGTAACTAGAAAACTCACATTAATTTCTTCCATTGTCTTTTTTCCTTCCTTCATTTCCTTGGCAATTCTTTCGATTCCTTGCCACCTAACTCTTGGGAACGAATCCAAAATGAAAAGCTTCTTTTTGATATTCGAAAGCATTTTCTTCAATTGGCTTTTCATTTCCAAGTAGATTGTGTCATTATTCAAGTTTTCCGGTCCGTTGTCATAAGGTTCTGCTACAGCGAACCATCTAAATTTATGTTGTTACAAATTTCCAGATTGGTGTGTTCGAAATTATCAGTGAACACAGTTTCAAAAAGTCTAGAAATGGCTTAATATGCTTTTTTTAACTTTCAATTCCGTCCAAGAGGTTCAGGTTTTTAAACGTCTGATTGTGAAATAGGTATTAAAGTTGACAGGTTTATTTTAGTTATATTTTGTTCAAGAAGAATTCCAGAAAATAAAATCTCGAAACTCTTATGAATTCCTCAAAACAGTAATTTTTCAGAGTGACCCTCTTGGAGACATCCTTCTCCTACTGTACGTCTTCGAGGCTTGCCTCATAACCGGCGATTGTGGAGGTCTTCACTTCAACGCGTCTTACCAAAGTGGCTTGACAAATCTCAAAAATTTAAAAAAACATGATTTTCATGTGCACTTCTGGGGTCACAATAGCCAGTGTGGCCAGTGCGTAATCACTGTATCACGTCTGAATGCATACCACAAGTTAAAAAAAACGACTCACCTGGTAATCATAAACGCATAATCCGGCTGCGTCTCATTGATAAACTCCACGAATTGTTCCAACCGACCAGCACACTGCTTTGACCAATCTGTCGAGTGCATTCCATTATCAACAGGTTTTCTAGGAGAAGCCAGTGGTTCGCAACCTGTTATCAATATTTAGTCATTCGCGTCGAGATACCGTAAACGCTGTAGTAGAATTAAGCCCCAAAATCATCACCTTTAAGACGCTATACCTCGTTTCCTGTGAAAGATATCAATAATCGTAAACTGATAAAATTTTTATCATAAACTGAAAAATATATTGTCAATTGACCACTTTTCGATATTATTCACAGGAACCGAGATCAGTTAGCTTCAGATTAAGATTTTGGGGGGGGGGGGGGGGTCGTTCTATTATAGTGTTTCGATATCTTTTTCATCTACCCACCTACAACATCAGCCATTGAAATAGTACTTGCCCGATGCCTACACTCTTGAATAATCATTTTATGATGCGTCGTGGCGTAGCTGTTCCCCAATATCGCTATTTTGAATCCATGCCGATTCTCTTCAAAATCACATCCAAGTCTGGATTTTCTCTTGTAACCTCCGATTTCTTGTAATTCTGGAGTCCTATTATCACGATAGTTCCAGTAGGCATTCAGACGTTCAGCGTCGTCTGAAACGTCGTTTTGAATACTTTTGTTTTTTGAATTTGACATACCAAATGTCATATTTGGATTCCATCTATCTAGTCTGACATATTTTCGATTAGATGACATTTCGAATATTGGTTTTTTGTTCAAATACAATTGAATTTCATCTTTGTTTATATATATGGCATTGAACACAAACAAGCATACAGTTAAAATGCTGATAATTGTGTTTGATTGCTTCAAGTACCATCTGAGTTTCATAATTTCATATTTTGAAAAAAAAAAATTACAGTCAAACCTCTCGTAAGTCTTGTTCACAAGGATTGCCAGAAGAATCGATGCGGTAAGTGATGCTGGAACAACCCACATGATTTCCGGATAAGTCAGCTCGATATAAGCATAAATTGGATAATGAATCAGATAGAGAGCATAGGATATGTCACCAAAGAAGATTAGAAATCGAGAGTTTAAAACCACGTCTTCCACATCTAGTACAATCAGGAAGCCAGTGAAAATAGTGATTAATAATCTGAAAATGTCAATTTATTGATTTTGTTTCGCTTTCGTTGTTACAAACCTAGCTGGAAGTGGAGTAATTTCTTTCGGAATCAGCATAATCAAAATTGATATAATTAGAACTGTATACTTTACAAAAATAGGTATTTTCGATCCTTCAGGTCTTCTCAAAACTTCGATATCCTCCAATAATTGTTTAGATTCATTCTCCAACGCCTCATAGAGAAATTTATTATCTTTCCGGTTATCGATAATAACAATTTCTTTTGCTTCAACACTCTCCATATTTTCTACTAATATGCTCTGCCGATCCGATGCAAAATATGCCATCATCCCAATTAAAAACTGCCATATTCTTGCAAAAACACTGTTAAATGAGACTGATTGTGGAGATGAGATGTGGAAGATGAATGAAAGAATTGCTGAAAAATGTCAAATATCTTTCCAGATCTTGTGAATTACCGTATTTGGTATTTGAGCTCAATTATCTCGATTCCAACGAGAGATATAAAAAATCTGTCAACTGATAAAATATTTGGGATGCGATGGTAAATAATTCATCAGTAGAAAATTCTTTGATATCTGTTGATGGAACCTAGATAATTAAGCTCAAAGTGGCTTCTATTAGAGCAAATACGGTACACCAAACTTGTAAAACGGGTCTCGTCATAGTTTCTCTAACATTCTGTATTTTTCACCAGCTAAATAGGAATATGGTAGAACTCAACGAGTACTACAAACTGATACTACATGTAAAACTGTGTCTTGTCTATGAACAAAGTTACAAAACATAAATCTGCCCATCCGGGTCCTGTCGTTTTGCCTATACCTTTGCTCGTAGCCAATATACAGTTTCCCAAATAATATCATTTTGTAGTACTTGTCGAAATCTACTATAAATATTTCAGTTAGTCAAAAAATATTTATCCTAAAAGAAACTATGACAGGGATCGTTCTGGCCCGTTTCAGGTCCGTTTTCAAGTACGAATTAGCAAACCTATGAGTGAATAATAAACGTGTCTGTATGTTCCTTTGAGTTGTAAACCAATTAAGAAAATAAATGGAACAATAAAATAGAATTGAATCTCGACAGATAGAGACCAGGTGTGGGTGAATAAATCCATTGCCATTGAAAGTTTCTCAAAATAATCCTCATCTTCCGTATGTGGTCTGTTAGATACGAATATCAATGCTTTTCCTGCAGATATTTGATTTTGGAATATTGCAGATATCGGAAAAAATGTGTAGAGAGCAAAGACCGCGCACATAATTATCAGAAAATATAAGGGTAGTATTCGTTTGAAACGGCGAAGGTAGAATTGAGTGAAAAATGAGAATGTGGTTAGTTTTTGAGATTTCGTGAGAAGCATACACATTAGAAAACCCGAAAGGACAAAGAATCTGAAATATGAGAATTTCAAGAAATCTCCGTTAAGTTAAAACTCACTGATCGACTCCTAGATATCCATTTGGAAATTGTTTGGGATAAAAATGAAAACCGAGGACTGCTAAAATGGCCAAACCTCGAATACCTTGTAAATCATCTCGTTTCGAGTTTTTCGTATTTTTGATTGGTGTCATTTTCTTACAGGATTAAGGTTCTGAAAATTTGGAAAGTTGAATTACTGTAGCTTTACTCTGATTACTGTAGCTTCAACTGGGTTACTGCAGCTGGATTACTTCTGTTAGATAATTGTACCTTTAGTAAGATTACTATTGATTTACTATATTATATTACTGTTATATTACAAATTACTGTAATTTCAGTTAGATTACTGTGGCTTCAACTAGATTATTGTAGTTTATATTAAAGTACTGTAGCTTCAGTTAGATTACTGTAGCTTTGGCTAGATTCCTGTAGCTTCAGCTGGATTACGGTAGCTTTTGTTAGATAAATGTAGCTTCACTTCGATTACTGTAGCTTTTTTGGATTAATGTAGCTTTTTCTAGGTTACGGTAGCTTTAGTTAGATTACTGTGCCTATGGTTAGATTACTGCACTTTCGGCTAGATTACTATAGCTCCAGCTAGGTTACTGTAGCTCCAGCTAGGTTACTGTAGGCTCACGGAGCCACCACTTACCTATTTTTAGTGGTTTTTTGAGTCAAAAATGTTGAAGCGGCTCTTTTTTGTAGATTTTAAGGCCTTCTGAAAACTAGGATCAATTAGGAATCAAAATAAATCGAATTCGGTAGAAAGAAGGGACGGAATTCAAAGAAAAAGATAAAATCTGAAAGCAGAAAAGGGAAAAGGCCAGAAAATCAGTCAGAAGAAAAAACCGGGAAACTGAATTTTTCAATCTTTGAGAAGATCTGGGGATTTTTCGGGTGAAAATTGGACTTTTGAAAAATCCAAAGATTAAAAAAAAAGATTCAATATTCAAAATGATTGGGGTCTTTTAAGAGACCTGGCAAAAGACGGAATATTTTTAACTTTGATGGCTGGAAAATAGCGAGAAATTGAAGTATAAATTTTAAAATTTCGGGAATTTGTTAATTTTCATCCAAAAAATTTACTGTATCATTTTATGCATTTTTCCAACAAATAAGTATTGTAGTGATAAGAGGGTTCGGCAATATACAATAAGTATTCTGATATTTTTAAACCGATTTAAAAAAACAATACATTAAAACAAAAACTATTCCGGGCCAGAAACTTTACGATTCTTCGGGGTTTCTCTGGAAATTTCAGAAAGTTTAGGTTTTACGATTTTTGGGAAAAAAATATCTAAAAGGTCCGAGAAATTAAAAAAATTGAAAAATTAAATATTCTCCAGAGAAATAACTATCCGGACCAAAACTTACGATTTTTTGAAAAAAAAAATTTTTACATTTTTTTTAAATTTTATCAATTTCTGTTTTTTTTTTGGTTTTGTTTTACAATACGTTTTGGATCCAAAAAATTTAAAAATTGAAGCTTCAAAACGTTTTGAATAATAACTTTTTATATTATTCGTGATCGTTTATAATCTTAAAGATCCGATAATTTAGATTTAAAAAAAATGAAAATCTGAACTCTTCACCTCTTTTTGAGATCAGTTTCAAGAAAATGTTTTCAGATCTAGAAATCTGGAAGTTGTCTGAAATATTTTTTGAAAGATTATCTTTTTTCTGTTTTGAAACTCTGTTACTATATAGAATACAAGCCTGCTGGCTACCGCGCCTTCGGCGCAATTCAATATTTTTTACTGGTTTGTCGCTCCACCCCTCACTTTTCGCTTTCTCTTTCTCAAAGGGTAGAACATGTACGTCCTCCCTTCTCTCTCTTGGTGTGGCCTTCATGGCAAAACTGGGTGCATGCGCAGCCGTTGTCCGAAGGGCAGCGGGATCAGTTTTGGCGGCGGCCTAATTCTTATTTGAAACCCAAAACTGGACAGCCGGACACTAGGACCAACAGACACGTCTAGCGCTTTATATATAAGGAAGATTTTTTCAATGATACTAAAAGATCACAGATAGTAGGCATTTTTTGAAAAGTTTCAAATTCGACTTTAATAGCCTTTTATAGCTTCTAGAGCTTTCCAAATGCTTCTGAAAGACTATAGAAGATTATGGAAGCTTTCAGCAATGTCTAGAATTTTTCAGAAGCTGCTCGAACCTTGAAAGTTATTTGGAGAAAAAACCAATCTTTGGAGATGCCATTTTTGCTGTTTCACAACTTTGGTATTATCTAGCAGTTTTTGTTGCAGTGATGAGAATACAACTACCTCAAAACTATTAATTCACCTTTGAAAGCTTTGCAGAGGCTTCTGGAAGACTCCAGAAACTTCCGGAACTTCCCAGAAACATCTGGGATCACCTGGAAGCTTCTAGACCTTTTCGTTACCACACTACACACTAAAAAATACATTCCGAGACGTTGCGCACCTGGGCGGTAATTGAAAGAGACAGTTTCGAGGAAATTTTCCGCTGGGTGCAGGTTCACAACGTCTCGAAAAGTATGTTTTGTATGTAGGGTAGTATGGAAAGATCTAGAAGCTTCCAGAAGCTGTCAGACGTTTGTCTAAAAATTCAGAAGCGTCTTGGAAGCTTTGAAAGCCGCTAGAAAGCTCCAGAAGATTCTGAAGGTCTTCAGAAGCTTTTGAAAATTTCAGCGAGCTTCTGGAAGTTTTGAAATTCTTCAGAAAAGGTTCCAGACACTTCTAAAGTCTTCCATGGAATAATTTTATGATTTAAATGTTAATTCCTGTATTTGATATAATTAATTTGCGGTCGATAAGAAGTTTCTTTTTGAGAAGTGTTGAAAATTTAACTTTTTGGATCCAAACCATTTGAAGAATTTTCGAACTCACTTTTTTTCTATTTTTAGCATGGGCAGCCAAAAAGCCACAAGGTTTTGAAACTATTTTTCAAAAAAATTTCTGAAAAAAAATCTTCTAAAATTTTCTCAAAAAAATTGTATTAAAAGTTTTGTAAAACAAAAATTTGAAATTTTCGGATTTTCGGAATTTCGGAATTTTCCGATTTTGAATATTTCGCAATATCGGAACTTTTGGAATTTGTAAGAATTCAAATTTTAAAGGGGGACTCCGACCAAAAATTTTTATTGCATTAAAATGTGTTAAAAGTTATCTATTTTCCGAATATTATTGCGAAAAAATTCAAAAAAAATCCGAAATTCCCAAAAAACGGCGTTGAAAAGGAAGAAAATTCAAAAAAAGGTGCCGCCGGGGGACGAGGATTTTCAGTGAGAAACCTAGGCCACGGCAGCGGGCGCCTTTCCCATGTGGCAAATTTTCCGGATTTTTTTCAATTTCATGTCCGGCAGGAAAAAAACGTAAAAAACCACTGTCGGCAACTTGAAAAAAAGGCTGTCAGGTGCCGTGGCCTAGGTTTCTCACTGAAAATCCTCGTCCCCCGGCGGCACCTTTTTTTGAATTTTCTTCCTTTTCAACGGCGTTTTTTGGGAATTTCGGATTTTTTTTGAATTTTTTCGCAATAATATTCGGAAAATAGATAACTTTTAACACATTTTAATGCAATAAACATTTTTGGTCGGAGTCCCCCTTTAATGTGGAAATTCCATTTTTTCCATCACAAAAACGCCGAAAATATGTATAAGAAAAATTGACAAAAATAATCTGAAAACTCGGTTCCGAACATCCCTGCAAACACCATATTGTCGAATTAAAAAAAGTGGGTCCTGAAAATTTGAAAGGCGTAGCTTTTTTTGATCTACGAAAAAGTGCGGCAAAAACGTAATATTTCAGATTTTCGCCTCGTTCGAGCTACTTTCGTAATTAAGTTCGGGTTTTTGAAAAAAAAACAGACTCTAAAGATGCTAGCGATCATTTTCCTACCAAGAAATCTAAATTTTGTTCAGAAAATCCCACTAAATTCACAGAAAAAAGTTTCGTTTACTACCGTAGTGTTACTGGGACAAGGCCTCGAAAATTGATCGGGAAGCCGCCCGCGAAATTTTCCAGGTCCCACTTTTTTTAATTCGACAATAGCACCTGTATTGAAAACTGTGAAATTATTAAAAATTGACAATTTATTTTACTAACGGTCAGTTTTATAATGAGTGGTTTTTTATAACAATTTGAAAACAGTGATTTCTAAAACCACCGATGTTTTTTTGGTTTTTTTGTCAATACATTCGGGAAATGATAATGTTATTAGGTTAACTTTCGTTTTTGGACTATAGCTCTGATTTCGAGTGCAAGAATAATACAACAAATTCCGTTGTCTGTCATTTGACATCGCCTATCTACCAGGCCTGTGCGGCAACAAAAATTTTTCGGAAATTCGGCAACACGGCAATTTGCCGAATGCTTTTCGGCAACGTTCGGCAACTCGGCAATTGCAGAAAAAAAATTTCGGCAAATTCGGCAATTTCGGCAATTTTCGGCAACAATAGTTTGCGTCTTTTATTAGTAAAATCGATACGTAACTCACCTGAAAATGCTCCGATCAGGCTCAAAACTACAGAAAAGGTGTGTCATGCGTTTCCTAACAAAGCAACTACAAAAATTGGCAACTCAGGATCACATTTTTTATGCTAACTTGTCTCGAACAATAGATAGTATTCCAATGGTTGAAAATATTTTTTCTGATTGTGAGTTTGAAAAAAAATTAGTGTACTCAACTTGTTAGGCAACTCACGACACACGTTGTCTAGTGATTTTAGACTGATTGGATAATTTTTAGATGAGTTGCTACTCATGATATCTATTTTTCTCCTATGCTCACAAATTTGAAGCCCATTTTAGGACCTATGCAAGTATTTTTGGTGATTATTGGGGCACATTTCCTCTTCAATTCACTTTGAGAGATAATGGTGTTCAAAATTAGGTTTTTCGAACTTCGAAATCATTTTTTTGATTGAAAAAAATTGTGAAAATCTCTACATTCAAAAAAACTTTCAGTTGCCGAAGTTGCCGAAATCGGCAACGGCAATTCGGCAACTTTTTCTTCGTTGCCGATTTCGGCAACGGCAAATCGGCAACAAAAATTCGGCAATTTCGGCAATTTCGGCAATCGGCAATCTGTTGCCGCACAGGCCTGCTATCTACATTGAAATAAACAGGAAAATCGACGAATCACAGTGAAAAACAAGAAGATGAATCCGAAAAATGTTATCAGGTTACTGTAGTTTTCGTTGTGGTCATTCGGCTGCGGTAACCGACTTTTCTCTTTCATATCTTCGATTTTTAGTACCAGAATAATCAGTTTTTGATCATTTGAAATCAAGTATTAGCACTGAGAGGGTCAAAGTGCAAATGCGTTGTACCTGAAAACACATTTCTGAAACTCGATTTTTTTTTTCTATAGTTTACGGAATTTCACTCTTCCAAAAATCCTATCAAATCCAATGAAAACTTTCTAGATGAATCCCCCGGATCATACGTTATCTATTCAAAAAAGAAAAGGCTCAAAATGTAATAAGATTATCCCTTTAATACCATAATTCTCCCTAACACCATAACAGCTGTATTAAAAATTGGCGAATTAATTTTTTTTAAATACACCATCAGTTTTCAAACGGTTAGTTTTAAAAAAAATTGACTAGTGTTTCTACGGTCGTCGAAAGCAAGAGAATGTGCACTAGCTTCTACTGTAGCTGAAATTATTACTTTTTGGCCATTAATTTCTGACTTCTTACGTCTACAGGGTGACAATTAATTATGGGAACAAAGTTTGACCTAGCTACTTGGGTCCAAGGCAACGGACCAGAAATCGCGCCCCAGTAAACGTGAGATTTTTGAAAAAAATATCGCTGCTGAATTATTTGGCTGAGGATCAAACTTCCGGTTGTCTTTGGTATGGGTCCAAGAAAACATCTTCATTAAAACAAAATGAGAAACAATTATAACCTTGCACAAATTTTGTTATAAATCGGTCGAACGTGTTCCAGTCCATGAGCCGATACATGATTGATAACTGTGAAATATGTGAATCCTTTCGAATCAAAATATTGAAACGCATTGATGGTTTTGTTCCAGAACGCATCTACGTAATCAATCAGTTCACATTTCGATCCACATTCATTTTTCACCAATTCCGCATAACGATGACGTCCCCTTTCATAATGAAATGGATCATACAACGACTTCTAAAAACCAGGCATCAGTTTTACCAAATCCTTACACACACTCACATTGATTTCTTCCATTGTCTTCTTTCCTTTTTTCATTTCTTCAGCAATCTTTCCGATTCCTTCAGTCTGAATTCTTGGGAACGAATCCAAGATGAACAACTTCTTTTTGATATTCGGAAGCATTTTCTTTAATTGACTTTTCATTTCCAAATATACCGTATCATTATTCAAGTTCTCGGGTCCGTTGGTATAGGGTTCCGCTACGGCGAAAAATCTGGAGAACCCGAGTTACCGTAAAACCCGTTTTAACAGGGCCCCTCTAATAGAAGGGCCCCCTGTAATAGAAGCGACCCCTGTAATAGAAGGGCCCCTCCAAAATGTGCATTGAAATTTAAAAAAAAGTTCTGTATGTTTTCAGGGAAAAATGTTCCGGGAACTTCACAATTTAATAGAAATTTGTTGAAAAACTTTTTTTGATGAAAAATTGCTCAATTTTGGTAAAATTGACAGATTGTCATGAACTTTGAGCAAAAATTTGTTGAATTTCTCGATGAAAATTTAAGCTCCCTCTAATTGAATTGAAGTACCCCTGTAATAGAAGGGCCCTCCGAAGGTATCTTGGAAAAATAGAAGGGCCGGCCCTACTTATACAGGTTATACGGTATTATAGTTTTCTATAGTTTATTCCGGCTCATTTCTTTACCTTGACATGATAAATGCGTAATCCGGTTGAGTCGTTTTAATGAAGTCCACAAACATGATTAAATGTCTGGCACACGTGGGAGACCATGATTTTGCAAAATCTCGTCCATTATCCACAGGTATATGAGGTGCAGCAATAGGTTCACAACCTAAGATCTATCTTTATAGATACCAATAACACCTTCAAAAGGTTACCCAAGACATCAGCCGTTGTAAAAGTCGTGGCTCGATTTCTACACTCTTGAATAATCAATTTATAGTGATTCCGGACGTAGCTATTTCCCAGTATAGCAATTTTGTACTCGGTCCCATTACCCGGGTACTCACACCACTTTTCATTCGAAAACTTATGAACGCATCCAGGTTCGAAAAGCTTACGATCGTTGATATCATAATAGTTCCAATGTGAGTTCATTTTTTCCGCGTCATCTGTAAGTATATCTAATGATTACGGTAATTTATTATCCGCTACCCAATGTCATGTTTGGTGTCACTCCATCGAATCTCGGATCATTTCTATCAGAAAATCTGAAAACTTGTTTTTTTTTCAAACTAATAGAAATACATTTCTTTCAAAAAACTTACACTGCATAATTAATTACTTCATCCACATTTTCCCGAATTTGATCCCAATTGATAAAGATTGCATTTAAGAGAAACAAGATAACTACCAAAATGGCAATCATATTGTTCGACTGTCTCAAATACCATCTGAATTTTCCAGAAGTTTTCAGTCAGCTGTTTTTTCGACCAACCGTTCGAAGGTCTGATGAACCAAAATTGCCAAAAGAATCGATACGATCAGTGCTGATGTAAGAATCCATGTGTTTGCTGGGTACGTCAATTTGACATACGCATAAATTGGCCAATGAATCAGATAGAGAGCATAGGATATGTCACCAAAGAAGATTAGAAATCGAGAGTTTAAAACCACGTCTTCCACATCTAGTACAATCAGGAAGCCAGTGAAAATAGTGATTAATAATCTGAAAATGTCAATTTATTATTATTTTCGTTTTTTTTTCTCTTCAACAACCTGGCAGGAAGCGGAGTAATCTCTACAGTAATCAAGATAACATACATTGAAATAATTAATACAGTATACTTCACCAAAATAATGATTCCCGGTCCTTCTTGTCTTCGTATAACTTTTTCATTATCCAATACCTGTTTAGCGTCATTCTCTAATGGCTTATAGATAACTGTATTACTTTTCCGATTAATTACAATAAAGTATGAAATCATTCCAATTGAAAACTGCCATATTCTTGCGAAAACACTGTTAAAAGCAACGGAAGTTGGGGAGGAGGCGTGGTAGGAAAATGATAGAAGAGCTGAAATTTAAGAAGATAAAGGTAGATTTGGTACTCTTAAACCCATTACAAAGACAAACATAATAGATGTATCTGGATGCTCCTTTCAATTGAAGACCTATTAAGAAAATGAACGGAACAATGAAATAGAATTGAATCTCAACCGATAGAGACCAGGTATGAGTGAACAAATCCATGGCAATCGAGAGCTGGAATTCATCTGACTACTCAAAAAGTCTCTGAAATTTCAAAACCTTTTCAAAGTAATCTTCATCTTCTGTATGCGGTCTGTTAGATAAGAATATCAATGCTTTTCCAGCAGACATTTGATTTTGAAGAATTGGAGCTGTAGGAAAAACTGCACAAAGAGCACAGACTGCACATAGAATGAACAAAAAATATAAGGGAAGTATTCGTTTGAAACGACGAATATAGAATTGTGTGAAGAAGGAAAATGTGGGTAGTGGTTGAGATTTTTTGAGCAGCATACACATGAGAAAACCCGATAGAACAAAGAATCTGAAATTCGAGAATTTTAATAAATTTACCTGAGGAGCCTTAACTCACTGATCGACTCCTAGATATCCATTTGGAAACTGTTTGGGATAAAAATGAAAACCAAGAACTGCTAAAATGGCCAAACCTCGAATACCTTGTAAATCAGCTCGTTTTGCTTTTTTCTGATTTTCGATTGGTGTCATTCTTTGGTAGCACTAAAAATTGGAAAAAGTTAGATTACTGTAGCTTTAATTAGATCACTGTAGCATCTGTAGATTTAGCTGGTTTACTGTAGTTTCAGTTTGATTACAGTAGCTGCAGCTAGATTACTGTTGCCTTAATTTGACTACTGTAGTTTTAGTTGAAAAAATGTAACTCTGGTTCGATTAATTTGGCTTCCGCTAGATACTGTAGCTTTAGTAAGATAACTGTAGCTTCAGCAAAAGATTACTGTAGCGTGAGTTATATTACTGTAGCTTATTTCGATTATTGTAACTTTATCTAGATTAGGGTAGTTTTAGTTGGATTATTGTAACTATTGTTTGATTACTGTACCTTCGGCTAATTGTCGTTTTATTACTGCGTCGAAAGTACTGAAATTTTGAAAAATTAAACTTAGATTACTGTAGCTTCAGTTAGATTGATGTCGTTCATTTTGGATTACTGTAGCTTCAGTGTAAACGTAGTTAGATTACTTTTGCTTCGGCTAGGGTACTGTAGCTAGTGTTTGATTACTGTAGGTTCAGCTGGATTACTGTAGCTTCAATTAGAAAGAAATAGCTTCAGTTCGATTGCTGTAGTTTATTTCCGTTTCCTGTCGATAGCTGAAATATTGTATCCTTATCTAAATTACTGTATCTTTAGTTAGATTACTGTGGCTTTAGCTAGATTACTGTAGTTCAGTGCGGATTACTTAAATTTCATCTAGATAAATTTACTTCGGCTATTTTTTGATTACTGTAGGTAGCTTTACTTTGATTACTATAGTCTTAGTTAGATTAATGTAGGATCATGGACCCTCCACTTACCGAAATCCTGCCAAAAATGAGTTTTTCAGTAGTTTTTTTGAGAAAAAAATTTTGGAGCAGCTCTGAAAACTAGGATAAGTTAGGAATCGAAATGAATTTGGATTTGGAAAAGAGGGTGGCAGAACGAAATTCAAAAAAAAACAGGATAAAATCAAATGAAAATTTTCCTACCAAACTACACACAAAAGTGTTCATTCCGAGACGTTGCGAACCTGAACTGTCACAGAAATCCGTGATCTTTTAGACTCCTAAAGATCCGAAAATTGAGATTTGAAAAGGGAAATCTTGATAATTGTGGAGATCAGTTCCAAAAAGTATTTTCAGATTCAGAAGTCTTAAAGTCGTTTGGGAAGACACCTTTTTTCAAAATCCTTTATTTTCTATTTCAAAATTCTATCAATTTTTGCTACAGTGAGAGAAATATTTCCAGAAGTTTCTCTGAAACCGTCATTGACATCTGGAGCTTTCCAGAAACATTCAAAACTATCCAGGAGCGTGTGAATTTTCGCAGAAACCTCTGGAAGCTTTTGGAAGCTTTTAAAACTTTCCATATCACACTACACACAAAAATATTATTCCGAGAGAACCTGCATCCAGCGGGGTTTGTGATCTTTTAGACTCCTAAAGATGCGGAAATTGAGATTAAAATAAAAGGTAAATTCTAAATTTTATTTGATTGGAACAGCACCATTTCTAGCTAGACTCTTTTTTTCTGCGATAAACAACACCAGACAAAATATTTTCTTGCCGCGCCTCTGGCGCTTCAATCAGGTGGCTGGGGCGTCTTCGGCGCGATTCAATCTATTTTCTTTGTTGTCGCGTTTTCTTGAAGGGTCACATTCAGTGGCGAGAAGATTCATTCTTTGTTTATAAAACACTAGAGATATCTGTTGGTCCTCGTGTCACGCTGTCCGGTTTTGAAAATCTTGAAAAATGAGTACAGTGGCGAGAAGTGGAGAGGGGAATTTTTCGAAGATTCATAACTTTGTTCAAAATCGCTCAATTGACTTGAAATTTTGCATGAGAATAGCAGTAAAATCCAAAAACATAAAAATCGGTTTTTTGAAAATTTCTCATTTCCAGAATTTTCAGAGCAGTTTCAGATGTAACAGTGGTCCGAGAATCCAAAAAAAAAAATTTTCAGAATTTTTTCTGGCTTTGATTTTAGATGTCAAATGATACTCAGTGTCCAAATATGCACCAAAAACGTTTTGAAAAATTTGGGAACTCGGGCTCTCGAGTTATGATGCTCCGAAGGTATGTGTCGGCATTTTTTCCATAACTTAACTGAAAATGTATTTAAGATGCTGTAAAAATTTCACAAATGATGTGTTTGGAGTTGTTTATCAGTTTTATGTTAAAAAATTTTCAATTGAACAAAGAAAAAATCTATAATCTAAAAAAAATATTTTTTCTACAATTGAAACAACTTTTGACGTAAAACTAATAAGCAACTCAAAACACATTATTTGTAAAATTTTGAGAATCAAGAATATATTTTCAGCTGAGTTAGGGCTAAAATGCCGACACATACCTTTTGTGCTCTGAGCATTATAACTCGAGAGCCCGACTTCCAAAATTCTCCAAAACGTTTTTGGTGCATATTTGGACACTGAGAATCTTTTGACATCAAAAATCAAAGCCAGAAAAAATTCTGAAATTTTTTTTTTTGGATTCTCGGACCACTGTTACATCTGAAACTGCTCT